GGAAAATGTTTGCTAAAGGCTTAATTTGTTTTCATGGTTTTTGCATTCACAGGGTACAAAGTTCTCTTTTTCATCTCTATGGAAGATGCATAAGGTTAGGGAAATTTTGCCATATAGGGGCAAAAGCAGGGAGAACAGAATATCTGAACAACTTTTTCTGCAATTATCAGAGTAAGGGTAGCACCCTGTGAAATACTTTCTAAATGTGTAAATTTAAACTTGCTGGCCATACTACTTTGAGTTTACAATGTCAAAGACATGTACTGTATTCAGCAACCACACTACACGTCTTCTCCCTCCCAGGAGGACGTACTAGAATATCACAGCACTGTGTCGTTTTTAAAAACCATAGTCATGTCCCCTTAATATCAAAGACAGAGAGTAAGAAGCAGTCAAGTCTTCTGGGTTGGTTAGCACTGAGGGAAGATGGAAGGCATGGCCAGCACGAGCTAAAGTTCGAGACGCCCTGCCTCAGAGCAAACGACGTGTACCAGGTCCCTGCGGTAGAAGCCTCATTTGGTGAAACTGAAGGATGTGTTACAAGGTCCAGCCAACTTGCCCTTGCTCTCAAGCCACATCCTCGGGCCATGGCTGGTCTCCCACTTTGGCTTCTCCCCGAGATTAAATAACCGTAGCAGAAGCACAACCTCCACAAGAGAGGGGCTTCTCAGGCTGGGCCCTTGACCTTCTCCCAGCATGAAGATACAGGTGCCACGAAGACGCCGATGCTTTGATTCCAGGCTAAATCTGTGCATCATAGGTCCCAGGGGTGGCATCATCTCGGATTCTGAATTTCAGGCTACTTCTCTCTGATAATGTATGCCTTCCTCTATTAGTTAGAGCTATATGAGTCCATGCAAAATAAATCAATGCTGGCTAATGGAGACCAGAATAAATGAAAAAAAAACCAAACAAAAAACAACAAAGTGTAGCTCAGAGGATCCAGAAGAAAGGTACTAAAGGTAGTCTCTTCTGGGCCTGGTTAAGAAGAACCAGTGCAAACAACCCAAATGCCCATCAACAGATGCCTTGATAAAGAAGCTGTGGTATATTTATACAATGGAATACTATTCAGCCACAAAAAAGAATAAAATAATGCCATTTGCAGCAACGTGGATGGACCTGGAGATCAACATTCTATGTGAAGTAAGCCAGAAATTGAAAGAAAAATACTATATATCACTCATATGTGGAATCAAAAAAAGCAAAAAGAAGACACTAATGAACTTATGTACAAAACAGAAATAGACTCACCGACATAGAAAACAAACTTATGGTTACCGTGGGGGAAAGGAGGTGGGAAGGGATAAATTGGGACTTGTAGATTTCCAAATATTAACTATTATTCATAAAATAAACAAGTTTCTTCTGTATAGCACAGGGAACTATATTCTATATCTTGTAGTAACCCATAATGAAAAAAAATATGGAAATGAATATATGTATGTATATGAATGATTGAAACATTATGCTGTGTACCAGAAATTGACACACTGTAAACTGACTATACTTAAATAAAAAAAAAAAAGAAGAAGAAGAAGAACCAGCTCAAAGTATGTTCCGTATTTGAGTTCTTCTACTCAAAACACCCTAGGTATCTCCTCAACCCTGCTCACCCAAGGTAAAGACTCTACAAAGAGCCCAAGTCATCTTTCTTTACTGAATGATACATACTACCTGAGTGAGACATTTATTTTGTACTGTAAACAGTCTCCCCAGATAAGTAATGATGTCAAATGGGTGTCTCATTGACAGTCTTGTGTCTTTTTAAGGAATACCTCTTAGGTTATTTCTGGGTTCTAATTTTTATCTAGCTATGGCATTTTGCAGAATCATTATAATCTATAAAATTTAAATATAAATCTCTAAAATCACTACCAAAGCTATTGAGGTATTGCATTACTGAAACCTTTTTTCTTTCTTGTGACATGGCATTTTCTTGAATATTCTTTTAAACTCTAACCCCAGTCACAAGTTTCCTATTGAAGGCAGTGCATTAGAACCATCATGACGTGACTCCTTTGTTAAATCATACCAGCCAAGAGTACGTAAGTCTAGTCACAGACATTAGCAGAGTTTTTGAAAATACCTCTTTCCTCATTTCTTCTTCTGAGACCATTTTTTGTCCTGTAAAGATACACATCCCAATTTTCCAGCAATTTCTTCTTCTTCCCCACTGTGTCCAGGATCTGAGTAGAACACCCAAATAAAAAAGATGCTGGCCTTCTGTCCGGCCACATTCTATGAGGTGGGAAATAAAAAACCAACCCTGGCGATTCGGCTGAACCACATAAATGAGAAACAGATTTATGCAATGTGTGTTTGCTCCAAGCCACAGAAGGCCAATACCATCCTCTGGCATATTTTGAAGGCTAAAGGGTAATTGGATCCTTTCTACACTAGACAGATAGTAAAAAAACCCAGCAGGGTTTGTCTGGGAGAGACAGTGCAGGCTCACATCTCACTCATGGGAGTGCCGTGACAGGACAAAGGGGCATGTTTAGATGGTGCTGCACAGCCCCACAGGATTAGCCATGCACACAAGGCCCCTCAGTCATCTGAAGCCCAGTGATCTGCAGTGACTTTCAGGAGTGCCGTCACCACTGTCTTCCCTCCTGTCCTGGAGATTTATAAAGCCTCCTGTCTTGGTCCCTGGCCAGTCCAGCTGAGCCTCAGCCTTGGCTTCCTTCTGTTCATGATTCCCTAATTAGACACTTCAAGGCCTGTCCTAATTAAGAATCTTTTGGTTACAAGTGTCCCATACCCACTTCAAAATAGCTTCTCCTAAGACAAGAGAATTTATTGGAAGGATGCTGTGCTACCTCCCAGACTCCAGGCGTCAGAAAGGGTGGGAACCTGGGCAGTTCAGCAGAGCTCAGGAAATTCTGGTTGGTATTCACCTGAGAACTCCATCATCAACGGAGCTTCGCTTCTAACTCCCAGACCTCTGTGTTGTTCTATAAAATATTCTCCAGCAGGGGAATCAGATGGGCTCAAGTTCTCATCAGCCATGGTCAAAATTAACGGTCCTATAAGAAACTACTGTCTACTGTGAGCTCATCTCTGAAGGGGAGGGAGGCATTCCAAGAAAGCAGTGAATTCTGGACAAAGAGTATTTTTTATAAGACTCCAGCTGGATGCTGGAACTGAGTTGAGATGATATGGCCTATGTCTCGTTAATGTCTCCAGGTCCCCAGGCTAGGCTTAGAGACATTCTGGGAACTGTCCATCCAGCCTGAAGACATTACAAACTTTTACTTGTCTTCTATCATCAGTACCTTCATCCTCTCCATGGACAGGCTGACGACGGCCACGCCTCTATCTCCAGTCCAGATTCCTCTTCCAAATGCCAAATTCAATCATCCTTCTTCCTATCTGACTTCCCCACGAAGGTCTTCCAGAGAAATCTCAAATTCAGCACACCCAAATGAAACTCTCACTCTTCCGTCACAAACCTCATTTGCCTCTAGAGTTTCCTATCTCTGTAAACAGGACCACAATTTACCCAGTCATGCAAGCTGCAAAGTTTGGAAACACCCTTTCACCTGCCTCTCTCATCCCCCTTATCCAATTAAACACAAGACCATTCCATGTGAAGTTCCAAAGTTGTTGAATCAGTTCAACTAATTCCGTAACAGCCACCTTATTTAGTCATCTGATTTAACTTTCACTTCAGTGTCTGCTAAGGCCTTCTTACTGTTCTCCTTGTCAGCTGTGTTATGTCTCTAGAATCTGTTCTCTAGCCTGGGGACAATATGGCGCACTTGACTGCACAGCTGTAAGTGGCTTTGCCAATTGTCCATAGGACAGAACCCCAAACCCTGCCTGACATAGTTTATGATCCCACCAACCACAGTCTTTGTTCATATCTCCTGCTACCACCCTCACCTCTCACCCTCTATTCCCCAGTCATAAGGAGTCAAGTTCACTCCTCTGAACAGTACACACCTGCCTCAGGGCACAGAGAGGCTATTTAAAGCCTCTCTACCTACTCTTGTGTGCAACTAGGAAACAATGTCCTTATCTTAGTATCTGAGTGGTCCCTGCCCCTGCAGACCAAGCTAACTGACTTTTCACTATGTGGTCTGGTATAGCAGGAGGGGCTGTAACTCCGAATATCAACCTGGGCCTTGGGGACAGACTGCTTGGGTTCAAATCCTGGCTCTACCACATGCTAGGGGAATGGTGTTTACTATGTAAAATCACGGTGAGGATTAATACATCACCCAAGACAATGCCTGATACTTGGTTGGCAGTCAGTAACTTTTCATTAACATCCTAAATTTGTCAGAAGCAAGAATAACAGAGCCAACAGGGTAACAATGTAATAGGCATCTCATGGTATTATGAGCTGAAAAGAAATCTACTGTTTTGGGTTCAGGCGGCTCTCAGGGCCCAGAGAAGCTCATTTATACTTGCAACTACAGTAAGCCACTCAGTTTCTGTCTTCTGATCCCAAGAATACAGCCAAGGAAAGAGAAAATAGAAGAGATACTGGGATCTATAATTCCTGAATTTTATAAAATATCACTTGTTTGATATTTTATAAAATATCATCGTTTTTAAGAAATTGGAGGTCTGTCACTAAGAGTGATCCTTGAATGCTCACTGACACTTGGAACATATGATACAATTACTCTTCCGAATTTGGCACACTGGGGAAAAGATGGAGATACCATCAGGAAAATTCTCTTGTTGGCATCATAATTGTGTTCAGATACGAGAGGTAAGAGGGGGCTACACAGTCACATAGAGGGGATCTTTTGTTTCACTAGCAGAGTTTACTCATTTGTCGATTTCTTCCATGGGGACATTATGTTGTAAAAACAGGGGAGAAAAAAACTACCAGAGTTTTTGGTGGTTAATCAGAGCTGGCATAACAGATTAGAAACTAGAGGAGCCCAGCCGCAAATCTGTTCTCTCTCACAGGACACTTGCTGAGTTCTAGAACGGCACAGTAGTCTGGGGAGTTAAGTTGGAAAAACAGAACAAAATCCTACCGGAGGGAAGGGGCTTGCAACAAACCATGATGAATCTCTTCCTCAAGACACCTCCATTGAAGCTACAGGGATGGGAAGCTTCAAAGTTAAGGTCAATGCCCTGCACAAAAGAAAAAAAAAATTATTAGGCGTGCAAAGAGGCAGGAAAATGTGGCAAATAATCAACATTTAAAAAAATAAGAGCTGATGGTTGTACAACAATGTGAATGCACCTAATTATGCCATTCAAATGTAAATTTAAAAGTTGTTAAAACGGTAAATTGTATGTTATGCATATTTTATCATAATAAAAATAGGTAATGTCTAGATACTACAGTCAGCAGACAAGGACATTAGAATAACTATGATTAGTACATTCAAGAAATCAGAGTAAAAAGTACACAGGACACATGAAAATAAGCAGAATTTTAACTGTGAACTGGGATCTATAAAATAATTAAATGTGCATTCTGAATTAAAAATGCAAAATCACCATCAAAGAACTCATGATACAGGACTACATATAGGACTAAAGTTAACAACAGATTAAACATAGCAGATGAAGGATTATCCAAGGTCATTAGATAGAATCCAAACTGAAGCATGGTACGAATAAAGGGAATGAGGAAAAACTCACATGTGTAAGTAATAGTTTAAAAGTCTAATGTATGCATAATCAAAACCCTAGAGGGAACAGAGAAACAATATTTGAAAGATAATGGTCAGGATTTTCTGAAACTACTAAAAATATCAACTCACACATTTAAGAAGCTCGGATCCCTAAGAAAATCACACAGACAAATATCATAATCAAATTCTTGAAAATCTAAGACAAAGAGAAAACTTTTCAAGGAGCCAAAGGACAAAAACACACATTACCCTCAATAAAGAAACGTCAAGCTGAGAAAAAAATGGTCTTTTCAATAAAGGGTGCTGAATCAGCTGGATAATCACAGCGCTATAGAAGATCTACTTTTCCATGCAAAATCAGCCTGAGTCAACCTCTCAGACTTCAGGTTAAAGGGGAAAATTCCAGATAAAAAGAGTTCATACTATGTCATTTAATTTCTATGAAGTGCAGGACCGGACAGAACTAATCAACAGTGTTAGAAATTGGGGGGAGGGTATAGCTCAGCGGTAGAGTGCATGCCTAGCACGCACGAGGTCCTGGGTGGCATCCCCAGTACCTCCATCTAAACAAACAAACAAAGAAATAAAATTTTTAAAAAAAGTGTTGGAAATCAGAATAGTGGTTACCTCAACGCAGGATAGGTATTGACTGGAATGAGCAAGAAAGAAACAGTGGGAGTGTTGAAAAGTTTCCATGTATTGAATTGAGTGGTGGTCATACACATGCACACACACACGCACACACACATGTGTGTATGAATGTGTGTGTGCGTGCATAACTGCTCCGTCAAACTGCACACTTCAAATATATGTTACATTTCAAAAAAAAATAAATGTAAGAGGGTCACTGTTCAGTACATCAGAAACGAACACAACCTTGTAAATCAACTATACTTCAATTTTTTTAAATGTAAGAGATTACTGTGTATTTATCCTTTATCTTTTGCTGATAAGCTACCCCCAGTATTTCTTCATGTAGAGAACCAGGGCCAACTGCATATTTACAAAGGTAACGGGCAGAGTGAACCAACCTCCTAGACACTGCAAAGTGCAAACGTGCACATCGTGTGTCCTTAGAATTTCAAACAGTTGTGCAAACTACTACAGTGCTGTCTCTCAATTCCAGACCATTACTCCTGCTGCCTTCTCTGCCTGGAATGTGCCCTCTTCTCCCTTGACCTGGTTACTCACTCTCCAGGTCTCATTGCTCTCTCTGGAAAGCCCTTCCAGAACACTGTACACGAGTTAAGAGCCTCTCACGTGCTCCCACAGTGCCCTTTGCCCGCTTTACACAGCCCTGGACACTCCATAGTGTCCAGAACTGCCTTCTTTCATGTTTGTTCCCCAGGTAAGCTGTAAGTTCCTGCAGGGAAACTAGAGCTCCGGAAGGTTGTATCCCCAGCACTTGGCAGGAGTTCACTAATCATTTGCTGCATCATTAAAGGGATGCAGAACAAAATAGACCTGTTTAATCCTTAGCTGAAAGACGACACACGATTCCTGATTCCACTAGGATAATACAATGGGCTTAGAGGCAGCCTGGAGCCGTTGTTCACTGCCTACTCACCGCGTAGTGAGAGTTTCCAACTTCTTCAGTGTCATTTAGCACGCCTCCAAAACACAGCACATTATGTTAAAATTGTAAAGAAAGGAAACCAGGACCTGGGTGAAATCTCATAGCTAAAGGATCTTGAACAGTCTCCTAACTGTCTGAACTGGATTTGCAAACCCAAATGCATAAAGGAGCTAGACAGAGAATATCAGTGAATGTGGCTGATTGTATTATTGTTCTCAGTTATCACTGCCCCTCCTCTAAGTGTTTTATACATCCTCACCATTGCCATACGACTTGCAGGATTTTCCTTTGGAGGAGGTAACTTCCTTGTCCCATTGATGGCAGCTTGGCCTGTGATTTGCTGTGGCCAACAGAACATGAGCAAAAGCGGCATATGCGGTGTCTGAGCATTAAAAGCCATTGTCCCATCCGGCCATTCTTCCTTTCCCTCGGCAACAAGGACAGCATATTCCATACAGGGGCTGCTCCTTCAGTCTGGTTCCTGAGACCTGTACCCATCGCAGACAAAAAGGACTGCGAGCAGGAAATGAACCAATGCTGCTGCAAGACAATGCGGTTCTGAGGTTTTGGCAGAGGATAACGTAGTCTAAGCTGTCTGCAGCAACCGCAGCAAGCATCAGGTGTAGGACTTTAATGAGAAAGCTTAACTGTCCCACAGGACGGCCAATCCCCAGCTCCAGTGGACCATCACCATGCAGAAATGCAAGCTCACTCTTGACAGATCTTCCTCTGGTTTAAGAAGGGCCGGATTTTTTAATCAAATCTCCTCCTGATGTTTAATTAAAATATATTTCCTTTTAAATATTGGCAACTAAATCAATACATTTAAAAAAGACCTGGGGCCTAATCAAATCAAGGAATATATTTGCCATTTCTCATCCACCCTTAGTTTTCTAACCTATCAGAGAAAAATGATAATATCATTCTGCCTCCCTAATAGGGTTATTTTGAGAGTCAGATTTGTCTAAATTTATGTTTATTTTGTTTTAATTTTGAAATGATAAGATAACAAAAGAAGGTCAAGTTAAGAAGTTAAACCACCCTGGCAAAGTAGACTGGCGATTCCAAGGTGACAAGATACCAAAGGAGCCAACAGTGCAAGTATCATATCTCAACTTTCCTGAGCCTCCATACAAAACGTGAAAAGCAGACTTCTCCCTAGACTGACCAGACTAGCCTGCAACCATCTTCAGGAATAAGGTGATCCTAAACTAGATGGAGCATAAATAATTGACAAAAAGTAACAGTTCTGTCATGAAACAAGTCTGAGCGAGGCCGATAGATCAAGTTGACTTTCCTAGTTCGCAACATTTAATTCATTCTCCTTGACCAATGATGTCCTTCTTCTTGACAAATGACAATAAGAAAAAACTGCCTAAGAACATCCAGTACCAAGAATGGGATAAGGTTTTTATGTTTGAAGGCATAAAATCAAAATTCTCAAAAGATAGATTTGTCTGACACATTTGCATGATATATCTCACAGGTAGGATTTTATGGCAATCCTGAACGTGTATCTCAGTAAGAATATAAAGACTGGAGAAGTGCCTGAAAGGGAAAAGCATAATCCAATGTCTTACATTTTCATTTCATTTTCAGGTTTCACATTTTTCCTTCCATTATGCAGATCCACCACTAGAGGGCACCATACAGTTCTGCTTCCACACACCCTGTGTGTAATGCTGGGTCTGACCTCCAGTTTCTATGCTCAGAGCCTTACAGATTTTGTCTGTCTAATCAGACCAGGTAGTGTCAACCTGAAGGGAGCTGCAAACCCATCCTTGATCCCAGGTCAGTTGCCACTCCCCACGTATTAGGACCTACCTAGTCCTTCCAGGTGACCAAGAGCAAAGCCTCTCTTCCTTTCCTGCGGCCTCATTTTCACTTAGGGGTCATCCAGGGTACTCTGCCAGATGCTGGAACTAGAACAAGGGACACAGGACCTACAGATTCAAGAAAAGGGACCATGCAGGATAACAAATGAACCAGTGTGTGTAAATACTGCAGGAGCTTCAAGGATGATGAATGAAGAGATTGTCCAGGAAAGCACGAGGTGTCATGAAGAAAAGTGTTCTCAGAGGTTGATCAATTCATGCTAAAGAGCATATGAAGCTGGACTTTTAGGCTGAGTTTCCTTTTCTCCTTCCTGTGTTAGCAAGGACTTCCATACAGGGGGTAACCTGAAGCTAAGATATGATACAGGAGATTACCTATCTATCTATACCTAAAAAGTGGCTTCTGCTTCCCAAGACTGCCTGAGAGAGGTTACTTTCCTCTGCACTGCAATATTCACTTGGTACTTATTGATCTGACAAATATTTACTGTCAACCGTGCCCCAAGCACTCAGTGGCAAATGAGATAGCCACAGGCAGGGCAGGCCTGCTTAGCGCTTATAGTCCAGTGGGGACACAAAAATGGCTGCAATGCAATATGCTAAGTCCTATGACAAGGGAGGAACAGTGTACACTGTGAGAGCAGAGCAGGGACCTCTGATGTAGATGGAGGAAGTCAGGGAAGGCTTCCTGGAGGAAGTACTATTAAACTGAGATCCTAAGCAGAATAGAAGCAGGCCACGTACTTCACACAAGTGTGTCCCAGGCAGTGGTAACACAGCACAGAGGAAAAGATTCAAACAGGAGTTCATTTTTGTATATACAATTTTGGAGCTTGCTGTTTTCCACTTACCTATTTTCTCCTGAGTCTCCATATCAACTCTTTTTGAAAACATGATTTTAATAGCTGCCTAAAAGTCCATTGTGAGGATAATGCCTAATTTATTTACCCATTTTCAAAGGGAAATTGCATTTTTAAGGCTCATGCTAGTTGCTGTCCAGTTAAAATATAAAATCATGTGGAATATTCTTTATTGCTCATATTAATATCCCAAAGGTCTCCTTTATTTGGCTATCTGTTGAGAAAAATGAGTGCAGCCCAAGCTGATATCCCCCTGCAGCAAATACTGAATTTAAGCAAGCTATTGGTTTACTAAATATAGGTTACATTTGACTATCTGTAAATTTTGCTACAGTTACCTTGCATGCATTGGCAGGACCTTCAGAGGAGCTCCCCGATTCTGAGGCTTGAAGATCTTGCACTGTCTCTCAAAATGCCCCTCTGTGACCCCTCAGTCTCCTCCAAGTCTGCATCTCAGCTCCCCATCCAGCCTTCCATCTCAGGCTCCCCTTCTCTGAGATGTTAACCAACATTTATCTCCATCTTTTCCCCAGTAAATTTTTTTTCCTCTGTGACTCAATTTCCTAAAGCTGCAAAGATCATTTTCAGAAACAGTTCTTTTTAAAACCATATTTGGGTAAAAATGTAAATATAACATATTTCACAAATAAGCTAACGTCGCAAATTGATTTTCTGGGCCAAGCAGGGAAGACTTTCAAAAACAAGTCTTAGAGAAAGTAAGAAGTTTTAGGTGGAGTAGCCAAACACCATTTGAGCTGCTTGAGGTAGAATTCAATTGTTTTTGCTCTGCCTCCCTTTCAAACTGATCTTCCTCAGATGCCCATACCTCTCATCTTGACCTGCTTTGCAACAAGGTTTTGGGTTTGTCTGTCTGTCTGGTGTTTTGAGTGTTCACCTGTATTGCCTTGGCGTTCATTCCCACTTATGTAGTGAGGTGTGTTTCGAGAGAAACCACTCTAGCTGTGTGGGCACTAGCTGTTCAGTTCAAACTCTGTTTTGGATTAAATATTTCTTGCGTCTCATGAATTCTTACATCGCTGCATGACTTGCCATGAGGTGGAGAGTGTCTTCAGCCCTTAGAGCCCTCCGATGGTAATTACAGTTTTCACATACATTTATTTCTTACGGAGGAAGTCACGTTCACTCTGGCCCACAAGGATCTCCACGTGAAAAACGAGAAGGTTCCTAGCTCCGCAATTGCGCCCTCAGCCTGGCCCTCATCCCAGGCCTTCGGTCTGTCTCTTGGCTGTCCAGCCGGGCAGCTCCTGGCTGCTGCTGGGAGAGGTGATCAGACAGGCTGACTGGCCCTGGCTGGTTATCAACAAGGGAAAGAAGATGCCAGGCTGCTGAAAAACAGGACACTTCCTCTCATCCGGCAGCTGGCTCCTTGGTTCCCAGGACACAGCCATACAATAAGACGTTTTATCTTCCACAACGGCTGCATAATCCCAAGGACATACCCCAGTATCCCTTTCTTTCTTCTCTCTTTTCCTGCCAAAGTTTCTGTCTTAGGGCTGCGCTCCGTGGGAGGACGAGCCCATAGCAGAAGATGGCTGGCAGCATCAGAAGGGAGATCATGGTGTCAGAGCCTTCCAGTAAAAGAACCAACTGGGAGCTGGAGCTGTCTCAACCCGCTCCCTGGCTGACGGCTCCCTACTCGAGTGTTTTTGTTGTTTTGTTTTGTTGCTGTTTTCTCATCTCTTTCTGAGCAATAAAGCAGTTTTGTGTGTTTCTCTGTCTGTGTGTGTGTTTTCACTTTGTCCCTCTGCCCCTACTGAGAATTCCTTCTCAATCAGCAGGCAAGGACCCAGCTGTCTGGTGGGCTTTCCAATCTGAGGGTCCCTCTTTCTGCTAACACTACTGCTTCACTATGCCCACTTGAAGGAGATTTAGCATGAAAACTGTGGGTGTGCCTGCACGCGGGACATCTCACAGAAGTGGCCGGACTTGTCTGCAAACAGAATTTCCTGCCAAGTGACTCTGCCTGTTCCCAGGGGAAACATTGCTTGCAAACAGGGATGTTTACCAGTTCCTCAAAAGGAACAGGCCTGGGGGCGGGAGGGTCTGGATGTAGTTAAGGAAGCTTAGCACTCTTAAGATAAGGAATAAGTAAGAAGACTGTCTTAGATGTAGTGCGCATGCGTCAATTTAAAAAATGTTTACTCACTGTGCTTGACAAGGATTGCTCTTTTGTGTAGAGGATATAAAAATAAAGGAAACCGGATCTCGGGAGACATTTTGCACCACAGCAGCTCTGGGATTCATTTCATCGGCAACACCCACTGAATTTATGCAAAGTAAATTTAACATGTAGCTACCAGTTCCCTGAAGTGAAGATTGGACTGGACCCTTTCATAATCTTCATTAAGCAGATACCCACGTATCTTTATTGACAGGCGTTTCACAATTTTGCATAATTCAAAAATGCCGCCCAGCCTATCAGCTGATGCCTGGAGAAAGTGGAACTGAAAGATAACAGCGTGCAGGCTGAGGTCACAGATGCCACTTCAGTCGTCCCTGGTGGTCTTCTGGCACTGACCTTAGCAAGCCAGCTCATGAGATCAGGATGCAGAGGAAAATAATCATTGCACTACTACTGTCAGGTAAGTGGAATTTTTTTTAAGTGTGATGCTATTACATGGGATATAGGATTATAGGTCAAAAGAGCAACATTTTAGTCCTATCTTACTTAAATGAATGTATAAATGAGTAGTATCTCAGATCCCAGTTTGGTGGATGGATTTTTACTGGGACTCAGCTGGTAAGGTAGAGAAAATGACACAAGGGGGCCCAGTAACTGCGGCTGAATCACAATTTTCCAGTATGAGAAGCATGCTTCTGTTCCCTAGCTAGACTTAAAAGAATTTTATCAAATATTATGGGAAACATCTCTGCTGTGAAGGAATGTGTTGCTCTGTTGGTGTTTCAATGAGTTTAACTTGTAAATTAAAGAGTCATTAAGGAAGGTGATGGTGGATGTACAGTCCTCAGTTTTCAAGAAATTCCGCCCCCCCCCAAATTATAATTTCCTCCTTCTGCCAAAAATGTACAAGCCGCAAGCATGAACTCTGAATCCACGGGGGGGTTGTTTCCCACTTTGTGGTCCACTTCGTGAGGTGTGATGCAGTAAAAAAGGAAGAAAGAAAGAAAGAGCTCTTATTGGCTTAGGTGTTATGTGGTTTGGGGAGAAATCGAAATCAATTCATTAAAATAAAGAAATAACATAGGTGCATTAAGAAGTTGTATCAGATTAGCATTATTCTTGACCTCTTCCTGAGAATGTCATGGTTAACGTCTTCTTAAATGCAGTGTTTATGTGTCAGAAATACTAGTGCCCAGCACGCAGATCAGGAGCAGGCCATTACTTGGAATGTCTCTAGCCCCGCAGACGTGGCTGTCACTCGAGTTAGAGCAAGTCTCAAGGATCTGCTGCTGGATGGGGGAGGGAGCCAGCATTTTCTAAGATACATGAGCAGGTAAAAAGAGTGTCATGGTTAAAGCACAGATGTGAAAGACAGGCAGAACTAGGGTCAAACCTGGCTTCACATCGGAGAGCCCGGGGAACAAGGAGGCAAACGACCTACCCTTTCTTTGCCTCAGTGTCCTTGTCTGTAAAATGCAGATCATGCTGGTACCTGCCTCCTAGGAATCACATAAAGACTAAAGAAAGTAATTACCGTGAAGTACTTACTCCAGCGCCCAGCACATAGTAAAGTGGTAAATGAGTATTTAGCTATGATAATAATTACAAACTAGGAAACAAACCTGGGTACGTGATAGTGATTTCTCAGAAGTCAGGGAGAATGGAAAATTATGGGAAAATAACAATGTTGCTCTAATTTTTTTTTAAGTAGCAAAATATGAAAACATTAAGTTGAAGAAAAGAAAACATGTGGAAGGAATGCAGCCTAGTAGTTAAATATAATCAAATATCTGTAGAGCTGTCACACAGAAAAGACCAGAGGCATTCGCTGTTTTGTTCCAGAGGGCAAAGGGCAAATACTCTCTCATATTAGACACATTACCTATTGGTGGTGGGGGAAGCACGATATTTGGAAAGGACTCCTGGAAAAGAAAGAAATTCGTGAAACCAGTGCTCAAGCCGATAGTGGATTAAGGCCTTAAATGAGACTCCACCAGAAGGTCGCTGAACCCAAGTGACTTTGACGCCTGCCTTAGTCTCCAGTGCCAAGGCTGTCATCGTCCTTACATCTGAAATCCTCAGAGAAACCCTCTTAATGTGACTACTTTACAGAATAACAGAAAGATGTTGGGAAACATTCCCCACCCCTCGCCCCTTACTCACTAGTTGAGGAGACGAACCTGCAAAGTATGAGGAAGGAAAAAAAAAAGATTGTTTTGCTTGCTCCAGTAATCCTTAAGGATAAAGCCACTATTTCTAATTCTACATGTATCAGATGTCATCCTCCCAATGGGCAGTAAGGTTTTCGAAATGATTTGATTCCTGCTTCCTGAATTCATTCACTCACTGGTTCATTCAGTGACTACGTGTGGAGTGCCAAGCACAGAGGCCAGCGCAGTCAGACGTGCGGGCTCCCGCTCAGGACGCGGGTGCCATCAGGGCAGGTGGGGGCAGGCAGTGCTAGGGAACACAGACGTTAAACAGGACTTTTTTTAAACAAAGGTAATAAATGCTGTTTATGACTTCTTTAAATTTTCATAGTGATCCAACATAGTAATAACTTCTGAACTTCAAAAAACCAAGTCCATTTACATTTGGTGTAGTATCGGTCACCAAAATGACGGGGGAAGGAAACCTGATGACTGTGAGAATGTGCAGAGGTTTTCATTAAGGCAATATTGACCGAGACGACCATTTGACTAGGTGACCATCTGTCACCTCAAATGCCTCACAACTCTGGAATGCTCCTTGTGACAAACGTGTCAGCGCACAGTGTTTCCTAAATTATTGATCATTAAAATGAGAACAGACAGTGAAAAATAACATGAAGAAAATTAAACCAGGGAAGGCGATGAACATAAGGCAGGAGGCTGATGGAGAGAAGGGCGGCAGGAAATTTTTCTCTGAGTTAGTGACAACGATGATGAGAGTTGAACAGTGAGAGGAGGCCAACCCTGCGAAATCAGGGGGAAGGGTGCTGGAGGGAGAGGGGAGGGAGAGGACGGAAGTTCTGAGACAGGAGAAAATATAGGGCGTTCAAGGAAAAGCAAAAGCTTTAATTTGAAAATCGGATTCTGATGCTAGGAAGTTCTTGGAGAGAGTTCTGCCTAGATAGACCATGAATTACCCTGGGGTTCTCACTACACACACCTGCAGGCACACCAGGCTGAACAGCACATGCTTAGAATGACTGAGAAAGTGGGCATCTCCTTTTTCTTCAGCGATCCAAGAAGAGAAGCTTTCTCTCCATTTAGCTGTTGCAGGAATGAGTTCTGAACTGGATTTCGGGGACCACGACACTCTAAATTTCTTAAAGTGAAACCCGTGTCTTCATGTATGCATCCCCTGCACTGCTGGGTACCTAGTCGGCACTCAATTAATAACAGTTGCAGAAATGACCAATGAGCAGAATTCTGCTGCAGACTAGTTTAACTGTGGGCAATTGACCCCCATGAGCCTCAGATTCCTCCTGCCTATTTAATAAAACACAGAATAAATAGATGGCATCGAAAATCCCTTTCATCTCTAAACTTCAGTGACACCTCAAGGTCAGCCTGAGATGATCTGTAGATTAGTTATCACACCTACAAAGCTCTAGCTTAGGGTGAAATTGGGTTTTTAGAGAGAAATGAACACTCCACTATGAACTCCTGGAGAAGAATTTCTAAGAGGGGAAAGAAGAGACTGTATCTTGAAATTGACTCACACTGATTTGAATTTGGGAAGTTGAATTTAACATTCTTGCTATGGATTTTTTTTCCTTTGCTTTCTAGAGGATTCTTGAAAACATCTATGATTCTATTGGAGATGCACATTTTAAATAATTTCCCTAAATGTCTTTATAGGTTATATTTTTACTGCATCTCCTCAAAACAGCCCTAACACTGGAAGTCCAGGTAAGTTACCAACAAAAGCAGATGGATAATAGATTTCCAGCCATTATTATCATATCTATATATTTAATAAGTACTTATCTGTGTGGTTTTCTGTAATAAACGAACTAAATCAAAACTAAAGCAAAAATACAGAAGAGAAACATCCCAAGGTTATCTCTCAGTGTTGGGATTGGAGGTAATTTTTTTTCCTGCTTTTTAATACTTTCTAAATTTTCTGTGAAAATAATCATAAAATATAATTAGGAAAAGTTTAAAAAATCTTTAAGCATACACAATCTCTGCTTTCTAAGATGTCTCTATCATTAAGCAATGCTGACAAACATTAACAGAGGAAAACCTAGATTCCAGCATATTTATTGCATTGTGCTTATTACAACTCAAATAACTTGGTTGTGATATATACTGAAACTGATTTCAGGGACCTGATAGAGAAAAGAAAATTGATAGTAAATATGTGAGATAACCCACACTTGATATTTTCCCATTTTCTGTTTTTTTTAATTGAAATATAGTTGATTTAAAATATTATGTTACTTTCAAGTGTACAACATAGTGATTCAATATTTTTACAGATTTTACTCCATTTATAGTTATTATAAAATATTGGCTATATTCCCTGTCCTGTACAATATGTCCTTGTAGCTTATTTATTTCATACAGAGTAGTTCATACTTCTTAATCCCCTACCTCTATTTTGCCCCTCCCCACTTCCCTCTCCCTACTAGTAACCACTAGTTTGCTCTCTATATCTGTGAGTCTATTTCTGTTTTGTTTTATTCATTCATTTTATTTTTCAGATTCCACATATGAGGGATAATATACAGTGTCTGTCCCTGTTTGACTTATTTCACTAAGCATACCCTTTAGGTCCATTCACATTGTTACAAATGACAGAGTTTCATTCTTTTTTATGACTGAGTAATATTCCAGTGTATGTGTATATGTGTGTGTGTGTGTGTGTGTATCTCATCTTCTTTATCCAGTCATCTGTTGATGGACACTTAGATTGCTTGCTCATCTTGGCAATTGTAAATAGTGCTGTTATGAACACTGAGGTGCATGTATCTTTTCAAATTTGTGTTTTCATTTTCTTTGGATATATACCCAGGAGTGGAATTGCTGGGTCATATGGCAATTCTATTTTTAGTTTATTAAGGAACTTCCATACTGTTTTCCACAATGGCTGCAGCACAAATTTACATTCCCACCAACGGTCTACAAGGTTTCCATTTTCTCCATAGCCTTACCAATATTTATTATTTGGGGACTGTTTTTTTAGGAATTTTATTTTATTTTTTAATTGAAGTATAGTCCGTTTACAATGTATCAATTTGTGGTGTGCAGCATAATGTTTCAGTCATACATATACATACATATATTTCTTTTCATATTCTTTTTCATTATATGTTACTATAAGATATTGAATATAGTTCTCTGTGCTATACAGAAGAAACTTGTTGTTTATCTACTTTATAAATAGCAGTTAATATCTGCAAATCTCAAACTCTCAATTTATCCCTTCCTACCCCCTTTCCCCCTGGTAACCATAAGTTTGTTTACTATGTCTGTGAGCCTGTTTCTGTTTTATAGATAAGTTCATTAGTGTCTTCTTTTTGCTTTTTTGATTCCACATATGAGTGATATCATATGGTATTTTCTTTCTT